TATCAAATCAGTAAAAAATCAAATATGGTTGTGCATGTTTCATAAAAAATTTAATTTATAAGGTCAGTGGAAATCAGTGAAGAAAATGCATACTACTTGAGTAGTCACTTTTACCAGTACTATTTACTGCTACGAAATAAGTACGCGGTTATGCGAAGTAACAGTAGTGGATCCGAAAGGAGACTGTCATGCCTTGTTGTGTCGTTAGACGATAACCTCGCAAACAACAATTGGTTACGCACGGTGAGCATTTAGTTGTTTATCAGGTGCAAGTAGGCACTGGATTCGGGTTTTCTCCCTCAAGCCCAATGAAAATGTGACTTAGTTTTCAGGCAGACATTATGTAAGTTAAACAGAAAAATTTGAAAAATCATTTTTTGGCACAAATATGTTTTCAGCAACTCTTCATCAGGCCAGAAACTGATTTTTTAAATGAACCATGGGAATATTTATAATAACTTAAACAGAAAAGCACTACAGACAAAGACAATGGAGACCGGAGGGGACATTTCTTGTTTATTAGCAGTTATCAATCGACCATATCCAACCGATCAGGCGTTGCGCCTACGAAGAGGATAAGACAACGCGTCCATGGATCAGTGATTAGAGCGTTGGACTTTTGGCCATCTAGTTGTGGGCTCGCGCCTTGATTTGTGCAAAACTTGAAGTTGGATATGTCTAACTGTTGACGACTAGCAAACCAGAAATTTAGTTGACCCGCATAGGAGAGTGGCCTTTTAGTCAAGCCAACGCTCTACCCACTTTAGCTACGAATTTCGCGCTTAACACCGTGAGTTTAATCACACTTGGATCGATAATACCCGCCTAACTTTGCCGCTCACATGGAATCCACCAATGCGAGACAGCAAGTTGACTGCCCAAGTAGGATTTCCTAAGCAATTCTCTAGAATCCACCAGAATGACTACTGGACTGACTTAATTATTAAGTTGGTTTGGCAGATTTAGTTAATTTAATTGGTGGATTCCATGTGAGCGGCAAAGGTGGGCGGGTAATATCGATCCAAGTGTGATTAAACTCACAGTGTGAAGCGCGAATTCGTAGCTCAAGTGGGTAGGGCGTTGGCTTGGCTAAAAGGGCCACTCTCCTATGCGGGTTCGAATCCCGCCGAATGCCGCGATTTCTTTCACAATTGGGTCAACTAAATTAACCAAATCTGTCAAACCAACTTAATAAAAGGTCAACTAAAATTAAACAAATCTGCCAAACCCACTTAATAAAAACCAGAAATTGCCATTCCAGTCTTCCATTTCTTTGCTTGTAATGCTCTTCTGCGGGGCTGCTGGCGGAGCTCGCGGGTGAGTCACAGCGCAAAACGGGACGAGTATTTTTCTTAATCGGTCGGTGATCACCAATGCGCAAACGAAGTAAACTCTTCCTCTATGGCGTTTCGCACATAGGGATGGGAATGACGAACTCTATACTTATAAGGCTAGCTACGAAGCCTTCTGCTTGCAGTCCATTGACCAGACTAATTTAGGTCAACTTAACCCCACAGTCACACCACATTTTTAGCCAAGCTTTCGGCTTGCTTGACATTCCATAACCTTTCATTGACTTTCAACGTCGGCCAATCCAATTTGTTTCCGCAAGTACCCGCATTCTAAATTCCCCTGTCCTATGCGGTTGAGGAAAATGCCCAAGTTTTATTATAAATCCCCAATCATTCTGGGCTCTTGAGGTCGTCTTCACATTCCTAAACTTTTCATCCAAACGTCCGCTAGATTCCCAAGTGGCTATATAGTCTATAACTCTCGTAAACCATTTTGAATTTCATTTTGACCTTTCACTCTCTCTCTCTCTCTCTCAATACATGCGCACTGCGGGAGCAATATCGAGCTCGGATGGATCATACAGCTCTTCGAAAGAGCTTAGCGATCTTATTTTGACTTTAGATGCTGAAACTTCGGGACCATACCCTTTCTTCAAGAAGAATGTGTATGGTAACCTTTAAAATTTAGTAAAAATAAAGAGTTGATTGTCCACGTTTCATACCTCTAGACCCAGAATTCTGCCTCACGAGATCGGTGGTATTAGTTAGATTTTGAGTTTATTGTTTAGTTTATTAGTTTAATTTTAGTTTTACTTCAGTTTTTATTTTAGTTAATTATGTTTAGTTTAGCTTAATTCTTTTAGTTTAGTTAAGTATGTAGTAGCCATTTAAGTATAACTTAACTAAAAAGTACATATAAGACTATAGTAAGCCTAGAATGAAAACCAAACCTTAAAGTTAACTAACAAAATAAATAAAATAAATACCAAACTTACAGCTAAACTAAAGTCAAAATAATTAAACATAAAAATAACCACGGGACTAGGGTGTCCAAAGTGGCGATCAACTTAACTTCTACCAAAGTGTTTACTGGTTTTGTATTTCCTGGCTTTAGATAATTTTTTGAAGTTTTTACGTGTGAGTATGCATCATTTTGCCTTCTGCTTAGACGAAGAGAGTCCTAAGTTTCCCGAAATCTTGGATGGTGGCTACTTAGCGTTCCGCGAACCTCAACCTTCCAGCCTTCCCACAGCTTCGTTGAACATTTCGGGCAATGGAGCCGGATTTCATCTTCGAATGAGTATCAAGCCTATCAGGATCCGGCCGCGAGTGCTGATGGCATACCACGCTTCTGAGTTCATTCCCCTAGCGCTTCTTCTGAGATCCGAACAAACTACAATAGAACTCAGGTCTGTCTCGGAGGAGAATATCTTTACTAATAGAATGATGTCTGAAAGAAGACGGAAACTGCATGACTATGGGCAGTTTCAATAAGTTATTTGTGGTCAAGCAGTAATTCACAAAAGGAAATCTGAAAGTCTTCTATTAATGCTTTTCTTCGAGTAGGAATTGTTCAGATTTATTTTCAAAAAAATCCATGGTCTTTTAGCAACAGAAGAATGAAACATGTCAAGCATACTGCGAAAAAAATTTCATCATAATTTGACCTATTTCATCCTTGAACACAGGCTATTCAACGTGTCTGGCAATA